AAAAAAATGGTATAATGCAAATTTTTGAAAAGTGAGGAATACCTGTGGTTTTGCCTCTGTCCTACACCAGCAAAAATTCTCCATACCATGTGCACGATGGTGTCCAGGCAGGTGACATGGGACAATCTACTGATTCCAAGCCACTGGCTCTAGGACCTGCCCAGCCAAGCCAGCCAGAGATTGAGCTATGTGCATTTTCCTACACAGGATTAGTGTCAAGTGCCTAAAACAAAACCTTTGATGATTCTTTGGAAAGAGAGTTGGGTTCAAGAGTGTGTGGAAGTACTTAGCCTTCCTTGGATGGGACTTAATTGCTTCCCAAGGCTCCCGGTGTCCTCAGGTTAAATACCCACATCCATCAGCATCTAGTTGCATCAACATCAATATGTACCCAGCACCCACTTCACCTCCTTTCCACAGGGAGGAGTTCAGGGCCCTGGAGCTGTCTGGTTTCAGAATAAGAATTCAGCCATTCTGTTAGAGAAGTGATTTTCAACCCTGATAGTGTCTGAGGACTTGTTAAAAATCCACTGGTTAGAACTAGGGGGAGCCCAGATAGGGATATTTTTTTGAAAAATACCAGATGATGTCCATTGCAATCAAGGGAGAAAAGCCATTGGGTTGAGAACCTGGTGTTACCCCAGTTATTTGATCATAAAACCACCTGATGGACACTTTAGAAATACAGATCCCCGGGCATTCCCTTGTTATTTCTATGTCATTAGGATAAAAAAGTGATAGTGGTACTTTTAACAAGCATGATGCTTATGCTTAAGTCAGTTGGGGAAACACCCTTCACCGATGGTATTGGGTCCCAGAAGCTCACAGCCAGAAGGCTGCTTATTCCCCACCAGACTTCATAAAAGATGGGACTTCATACTTGACATTTGGTTGTGATTCAGAAAATATGTGTTAGATAAATGACTAAATGACTACTTCACAAACCAAGAAAATTATAGTATGTTCTGAATCACGGGAGATGAGTTTCCAATAATCAATTTACTTCAGACCTTAGGGGGAAGAAACACACGTGATAGCTAGTATCCGTCTACTATATTCTAGTCACTATAGGAGTTGCTTTGCATATGTAATCTCATTTAATAACAGCTCTGGAAGCAAATATTATCATTCCTAACTTATAGGTAAGATCAACTGAGATTCATAAAGGCCTCAGTGCTGGGTTTGCATCCTGTCCCTGCCACCTATTTGCCATGTAAACTTGGCAGGTGAGTTATTCTTTGTGCTTTAGCTTCCACATCTGTAGAATGGGTTCAATGACCTGGTCCTAGCACTGTTACTTTAAGGATTAGTGTCAAGTGCCCAGAACAAAACTCTGTAGGTACCAATCAAATTGGAGCAATTATTATTAAGAAACTTTCCCAATATCATCCACACATACCTAGTAAGGAGCAGAGTCAGAATTTGAATCCAGAATTTTTATTTCCAAACCTGTGATCTGCAGATATAGATCTTCATATATATACTCCACAAACTGGAGGTGCTTGTTTTCAGAAGTGGATGGGGGACAAAGCAAAAGAGGGGACCAGCAACTACAAACAGCCATCACCTCCAATGGGTTTGAACTCTGTGTGGAAAATGTTAAGCCATGAGGTTGTCACTGTGCCCCTTCAACAACCCAAGGGGCAATGAGTGATGGGCAGGGAGCACACCTAGGACATTAGTCTGAACCATCCAAGATTCCATTTTAAAATTTGATACCCTCAACAAGAAAATATATCTGTGTCCATACCCAGAGAAACTCTATCTCAAATGGACAATAGATGGGCAATTGATCAGTTCAGCTGTGTGAGAACATCAGTTCCCAGTCAGTGTTTGTCCTGAGAGTAGTTTATAGAATGACCAATTAGTGTTGAAAAACCATATGGAAGAGTTGTTAAGGGACTATATCCTGGCACTTCCTACCTTTTGTCCTCTGGGAGAGTTTCTTGATATTTTTCTGCCTCAATTTCCTTGTCTAGGGCATACCTAGGTTATTGCATAACCTCCAACATCTTTAGCCAACCCTGCACCCCAGCTCATATAATGCATGAACTGTGCAATCGGACAACATGTACACCTGAAAGTTTAGTGGAAAAAATGAGGGGGAGATAAAGCAATTGGAAAGCCCTAGCATGGTGCTCCACTGGCAAGGGGCGCCCAGCGCCTGGGTCCTCATACAAACACACAGAGCAGAAAAAGGGAAACACACAGACAACAGGAAGAAGTTTCATTTGATTTCTGGTGGAAGGAAAGGAAAGAATGAGACAAATTAGCAGGCCCCTTTTTTAGTCCATTCATCCTAAGAGTGTTTGAAGCACCATTCCATTTCAACTTTACAACACTCTTGTGAAATACACATTAACATTCTCATTTAAAAAAATATTTTATTTATTTATTTGACACACACAGAGAGAGATCACAAGGGGGTGGGGCAGAGGGACAGGGAGAAGCAGGCTCCCAGCCGAGCAGGGAGCCTGATGCGGGGCTCGATCCCAGGACCCTGAGATCATGACCTGAGCAGATGCTTAACCGACTGAGCTACCCAGGTGCCCCAACATTCCCATTTTAAAGATGGGAACATCATGGAATGCCTGGGTGGCTCAGTCGGTTAAGTGTCTGCCTTTGGTTCAGGTCACGATCCCAGGGTCTGGGATCGATTCCCGCATCAGGCTCCTTGCTCAGCGGGAAGCCTGCTTCTCCCTCGGACTGCCACTCCCCCTGCTTGTGTGCTCTCTCTCCCTCTCTCTCTGACAAATAAATAAATAAAATCTTAAAAAAAAAAGATGGGAACATCAAGGGGCAAAAAGTTTAGATAACAAGTTCAAAGTCATCCTGCTATGAAGAGGGTAACAAAGCTTTGAAACAGCTGGGCTTGACACTAATCCTGGGTCCTTTCTTTTCTACTTGCCTCAAGCAAGAAAAGCCAGATTTAACTTTTTATTCCTCAGCTGAGGCACTGAGAGGGGAAGAGAGGGATGCTGAGGGGTTATGCTCTGTTCCTAGAGAGACAGTGGGATGGAGAAGCAATTGGGCATCCCAGGCTGTGGTCTGATTCTGCTGCTAAACCAGCTGTGAGGCCTGGGATGAGTCCCCCCCTCCCCAGATGTCCTTTCCCCCCTCTGGAACCAGGACCTGCACAAGGGTAGAGGCTTTCCAGTGCTAGGACTACTGTCCCTCTCCACCTTGGCATCTATCTCTGCAAACTTCACATCTCCTGCCTGTAGTACTCAAGGGTTCAAGAGGCTTCAAAATGCCTGGTATCTGGCATCTCTTCCCCCCCCTTTCCCTCCTCTTTTTTCAGATGGAGGGACCCATATGCTATGGAGACTTCTTTAAAATCATCATAGCCCGAAATGAGCCACCACTCTCAGGTCCCTAGCTCCACAAGGTGACTGGGGGAGGGTGTCTTACTATTGCTTGCTTCAAGGTGTTAGCATGTTTTAAACATGGCCCTCATGATAAAATGACTAGAATTCGAATTCTGCATGACATTCTCTGCATGCTCTGGGTCTTGGGGAAGCACAGGAGGGAGTGATGTAAGCAGGGAAGGGCCTGATCACTAAAGAGCTCAGGGCTGCAACCTTCCCCACTCTGCAAATGCTTGGTGAGCCAGAGGCACTCACTAAACTAAAGGACCATCTTGCAGCTAGTCCAGAAGGGAGCCAGGTTTTAACATGTGAACAGCAGCAGGCCCTGTGTGCTAAGGAGGGGCTCCTATGAAATCATGGGAGATGTACTTCCCATTGTAAGCAACCCCGTTACCCCCTTTCTTTATGTAGGACATTTGTGGGGCCAGATTCACCCACTAACCCACACTGTTAGTGAAAAGGAGCTTCTCTGAAAAGGGAGAACCAACCACTGAGTGAGCCTCAGATGAACAAACAGGGAGAATAATGTTGGGAGTCATGGAAAGTTCCAGAGGCCAGAGCCAGAGCAGCACTGGGTGGAGCCAAGGGAGCACAGGTCAAGGAAGGCAGGAGATTCCAGCCCAGGGCAGGGTATCAGATGACAGGGAAATTCCTTTGCATCTAGGGCCAAGGCCTGGGGAGGGCACAGGGTACTCCAGCTGCAGAGCTGGGTTCAGATCCTCCAGAGCCTGAGACAACCTGGGTGACCATATAGGACAGAGGAGCAGGAAACAGGATCCTCCAGCTAAGAATCCCACCAGGTAGAGCAGCAGGTTTTGCCTGGAGCTCCTTCTGTTAGAGGCTCCTGAGAGCAGGTTCAGGTGAAGAAAGGGACCTAGCCCAAGCTTGGAAGAGAGTCAGAGTGAGATGAGAGTCTTGGAGCTCAGCCGTGGTCATGACACTGGTACCAGCCCAGAGGGAGATGGTCACTAGATAGACTGACAGTGAACAGATACGTGAGGAAGGCAGTGCCATCTATCTTTGCTGAGCCCTTCCTCTTCTTCCCAACAGACCCCCAAGATGAGGAACTCTGGACCTCTCTTTACAAATAATGCCATTCATTCATTCATTCATCCATCCATCCATCCATCCATCCATCCATTCAGTCAGTTAGTCAATCATTCTATAATTAACTGCCAGCTTGCTGAGCAACTACTACCCACGAGGCACCATGTAAGGATGAAGATGCACTAACGGCCATAAAGACTGAGGCTGATCCAGGACTCAAGTTCACAAGAGGTGACCCAGCTGAAGCCAGCAGGTGCTCCACAAACATTTAGGTGTATGTTTGGGGGCAGGGGAGGGCTATGAGGAGGAGGAGCTATACACACACCTGGGTTCTAAACATGATTTGGATTTTCCAAAGGCCACACCTAGTAACAGATGTGTTTTGAGGACAGTGCTGAAACAGTGAATTCAGTTTCATGTTATGTTGATCACAGAAAGTTACTGGTGTAAAGACTCAGGGGATGCCTGTTTTTATGTTCCCAGGAAAGAAAAGCCTGTGGCAAGGAGAATCTTGAGGATCTGACCATCATGGAGGGAAGACATACCTGGGCAGGAGCTCAGAGGCTGCTCACTTCCTGCTAACCTCAGTGTCATTACTAGTCAAGGTACCCAGACTCTGTCACTATGCCATCCTGGGGCTTCCTCCAAAGTGAAAGCAACTCTGGCTCAAAACAGGCATTTTAGCCTTTCCCTTCCTCTCTCAGACCCTGGTCCACTGAGGGATGATATGCTGAATGAGTCCCTTATTTCCACTATGCTAATTCATGCCCCTCCTATTTTCAGCAGAGCTAGAAATACCTACTGTTAATACTAGGGCCACTTCAAACATTAAGCAGCTTTATTCCTACCTAAGAGGATTCATCTTAACAAAGTTTAAGGTTTTACACAAAAGGGAAGGCTCTTTTTTTCTTCTTACTTTGCCCATCACACAAAGCTCTCCCAGGACTGAGTGGATCCACTGCAAGCCAGGAAGTCTGAATTCCCCTTTCCACCTGTCATTATTTTCCTGCCTCGGCTTGATTTCCTCTATAGGCATTAGGACTAGGGAGGGGTTAAAAAAAGGACATAGGCTTTCACTGTAGACTTCATTTTTTTTCATGGGGATTGTTGTTTGTTCTTGAGGGAGTTATTTCACCTCTTATAGCCTCGAATCCCTCAGCCATCACTTGAAGGCTGGACTGAAGCTCTCTGAGAGTCATTAAACTAGTGACTCTAAAGTAGGATATGTCTCTGATGCTAAGTAGTTCCCAGTCTGCTGAGGGAAGTGGCCTTTACACTTGGATAGCTCCCCAAATGAAACATGCCTGGCATATACTAGGGCATCTGTTAATATTTGTTGAATGAATATGGAAACAAATATCACCATGGGAGTGCTGTTGTTTTGAGCAGGCCCAGCTCTGATGCTGAGAGAGCCCCCAGGAGATACAGAGCCAAGAGAGGAGGAAAACACTGCCACCAACAAGACCTCCGGGTGTCAGGGCTGGGACTGGAAGTGGGCAAGGAAGGGTTGGGGGTGGGCTCATCCCGGGGTTCCGTGGATGGGCTTGGGCTAGGGGCTGAAATAGTTAGAAAAGGCTTCCAGATTTCCGGTGGTGTGTGGGTGGTATACAGCTGGGTTAAGAAGGAAAGGCCAGGGCCAGAAGGCTGGGTGGAGTGGAAGGAAAAGGTTATCCCAGAAGAAGAATTAGCCCTTGAAAATTTCTGAAGTAGGAGAGGGGCAAAGGTGTGGTTGGTGAAGGCAAAGCAGGTTTACCCAGATTAGCAACCAGTCAGGGAGGGGTGGGGTTGGGGGGATAATTAAGTAATCTGAATGTGTATAGTTCAGTGGAGTTAGGAGAAAGATGGAGGAAATAGATTCAATCCCCAGACAAGGAGTCTGTAATCAGTCAATCAACGACCTCTAGCATCTGCCTTTACAAGGCAGGCAACAGGTGCCCACCTCAGGTCCTCTGACACCTCTCCCACTTGTTCATGTGCCCAAATGTATTCTAATCCACAAAACAGGAGGAACAATCCCCTCAAGAGAAGAGAGAGCAAGAAGGTAGCAAGGCCACACAAAGGACTCAGATCTTCCTCCTAGGTTAACTCTTTAAACCCTCCGGGAAGCCTGTGGCTCACCCCTCCCCCAACACAAGCCCTATGCCTGGGTCTAAGGGGGAGGGTGGCACTGGGAATTAGGCATCGGTGACATCATTGTCACACAGCCAGTGCCAAAAAATATCAAGTGGGTGGTTTTCATCACAAAAGCTGATCCAACTGGTAATTGAGGGGAGTAGGGTGAATCATGTTTGACAGGTAAGGAATGAAAACAGAGGGGGCCTGAGGTGATTCTGTTTCCTTGAGGCAGGGCTCATTCATCCTATATAAAGCCAGCTGGCTTCTGACTTCACATCAGACCAGAGCAACCAGACACCCCATTCTCTGTGTACCAGGTAAGTCTCTGACTGGAACCAATTCAAAATTCATGTTTACTTTTTTTATTATTGGAAACTGGACAAAGGCAAACATGTGTAAGAGGGCTGGTAAGGATATTAATTAGAGAGAGAATACTGGTCATTTTAGATTAAAGCACAGTTTGGGTGTGAAGGGAATTAGAGGCAGGTAAGTCTGCCACTTTGGTGAACAGCTATGAGACTGGGGGCGGGCGGGGGGCAGGTTTGTGCAAGTGCTGACAGTAAGTTAGTAGCATGATTGTGACTAGGACTCTCAGGCCCAGGCATTTTCAGCAACACCACTATTTTCTCTGTTTATGACACTTATAAAAATGTTAATTCATGAGGTGGACCTCTACTATGCATTTGTTATATTTCAGGCACCATGCTAGGTACTTTGGGTAAATCAAACCATTATGGAACTCATTCAGCAAGCTCACAGCCTAGCAGGGAAGATAATGCATGCTCACACATAGATGAAATGCAAAGCAGATAATGATTGGCATGGGAACAGAGGAACAGGGAAGGGCTGTTTGGGGGAGCCAGGAGTATCTCCTGGTGATAGCGCAAGTTGTGAGCTACAGTAGAGGCATATTTGGACAAGCAGAAATGGGAAGGAGAGCATTTCAGAGCACACTGTATTAGCAAAGGCAGAGTAAGGTCACAGGAGCTGAGACTCAGAGAGGCATTTTGTAAGTCATAGGCGTGCTGCATGGTCCTATGGGTGGGCAGACTGCAGTTGTTTCTATAATGTCACTTTCCAAAAGTCCTCAGTGTGGTCCTGGGTACTTGTCAATGAGGGATATGACATGTCTGGGGAAGAAAGGTTTGCTGGAGAATGAACCCCACTGAAATGGAGCAGGACAAATTGACTTTAACTCCTCCTCTTGAAAGGGCCCAGAAATTATCAAAGCATATTTTACTTTCAGGTTTGTGGGGGGTGGTCAGCCAGAGGAGATGAGGGGCTGTTTCTTCTAACAGGGCCTGTAAAGAAACATTTGGCATTGAATATGGTTTCTATCCTAGATAATCCCTGTTTAAATCATCTGTTCTTTGTGTAGATCCAGCCTCCTGTGAAGCATGAGTTCCCACCAGCAGAAGCAGCCCTGCACCGCTCCCCCCCAGGCTCAGCAGCAGCAGGTGAAACAGCCCTGCCAGCTTCCACCCCAGGAACAATGTGCCCCTAAAACCAAGGAGCCATGCCACCCCAAGGTTCCAGAGCCCTGCCACACCAAAGCTCCTGAGCCATGTCACCCCAAGGCTCCAGAGCCCTGCCACCCCAAAGCTCCTGAGCCCTG